GTTGATGAGACCTACGCGAGGCTGAAACTGCACTATACTTCAGCCTGAATAAGAATAGCTTTTTCGGCAGCAAAGCTATGTGAAATTCAATGGAAACGTCACGTATACTCATATAAGCATGGGAAAATTCCACTACCAGCCCCCGTATAAACTTTTCCCTGCCAGCACAGTCGACGGAATAGTAAATTTTAAAACTGTTTACAGATCTTGAATAATAATCCAACTCAACCTTTACAGTCATTGTAGCTCCTTTACCCATTCGAAGTTGTGGATGCGCGGCGGGATAGAACCTTCAGCTCATTTTGCACGAGGACGAGGCGCTTTTGGAAAAAATGCTTTGTGAACTTCAATGAAATTGTGAGATTTCAATATGTCATAATGGGAAGAAAATATATTAGTCCTCGTATCGCCCCAAGCAAACCGTGATGATTCAAGTTTCTATACATAATCCCAAAATGGGCATTATCCACTCTGGTCCTTTCATGCAGCAAAGTTAGGAGAGACCTGGTTTGCATGACTGTGAACCGGAATAACTTATATAGAATGTATTCAGTTAACATTGACAAGTAAGCAGCAAACTATCTAACGCAATGTATTTTCCCATAATCCTCCCGAAGCATACAACAAAGCTATTTTGCTCGTATCAAAGCTCATTATTAACACTTCTTATGCTTTTTCATTTTTATTTACACTCACTCTACATTAGCAGAGAGCCAAGAAAATTATCCGGAAGCCTTCTTATGCCTGTAAAACATAAGGGAAAGTTAGTTCTTCCTGTTTACAGAGCGTAATCTAAGCTGGTCTCACAATAAGGCCAAGTCAAGAGCTCTCGTATATTATTGCTTTGTGGATGGAGGCATTATGTTTGAATGCTGGTAAGGCATCATATCTGAAAAGGGTTTACATGTTAGCGGATGAAAGGCTGCTACAGAACTGCATTGAGGAAGAAACAATAAAATGAGTCTGATTTGATGAGAATACTAATAAAAACATGTTTCTTGATTTTTTTTTCATAGTTAGCTTGTTCGACACTACCTCTTCAACTTAAATAAAAGCTGTATTTACCCTATTTCGTTTTAGGTTCAGAAGGACTGGTGGCCGAGTTCTCCCAAAATCTCTTCACAGTTCCATTGAATTTCATACAGCCTGGCATCCCATAAGTTATTCTCATCCATATTGAAGTGGACTGCGGTCTCGACCTCGCCTAATTCTCATAAAATATTACAGCAGGACTCGAACTGTGTTTGTGGAGCGTATAATCCCGACACGTTACACACTACACCACAGGTAAGATGTGAATTTAAAGGAAAGCCAGACAATTTCGCATACCACATTCTGTGGTGGGCTTGTCGACGAGGCAGAGTTGTGCTCAAGTACCAGTAATTCGTCACCTTAAATTAAATATAATACATACAGCTATTTTATCATAGTTAATAGTGGTCATTATAAGCCTACACATAAAACCAAAAATAAGTAATGTAGTTGGTTGCTATAGCAAATGCAACCTTGTTTTATCTTTGGGTGTGTTGAAGAGACCTGGGCGGCTAGACTGTTGTAAATGTAATGGCAACTTTGGACCATTTGATAGCATTTTGTGAAAATTCAACTACCACTCCTCCATCACCTTTTACATTTTTCATGTCATTTTTATGCGAGAATTCTCATGCCTAAAATCAAGCCACGGTTACTAAGTTCTATAGTTGTCATCCTACCTTAGCGTGTTACGGAGAATTTGGTTTCGCATACAAATGCATGAAGTAGAGATTCATTTCTTGATCGCACTGGAAGACGAAAGCTGATTCCTGTCTTTCTGGGGCCGTTAAATTTTAATACGATAGTCCGGTTGACGTAGTCCAAGCGGCATGCCCCCTCGTTTCTGGTAAGGCCGGATTAACCTTGCTTACGTCACATAAAAGATATCCTCAGTGCTGCAACTTATTCTTGCGAAAGTTTCGAGTTAACACAATCTCGCCCTATTCTACATGCTTTATATATTTATGCAAATATAATAAATTAGATACAGAGATATAGAGGGATTTGGTTAATTCACTTTCATTATAATCAGGCTTTCTTTACTTGTGTGTGTGTAAGTGTGTCAAGGTCTAAGAGCAATACATGTCCTAAAGAGAGTAATTAAAAAAGCCTATCATCAGGCCCACACCATCAAGACTTAATGAGAAAAGCAACGGCAGTATCGAGATTTTGTAAGTCTGGTCGAAGTGATGAAATGTAAGCATGTAGGTGCTTACTTCTGCCCACGATATCACACAGAGTTATGAATATGAGATTATTTTCGGTAAAACATGTCTTTGACTTGCCTTAGTGGTAACTATTTGCAATGTCTTTCGGTTGCCGGGGCCTCTCAGTTTTGCGCCTCTTTGACCGAAATTAATTTCGCCATTGTCGCGAAACCTTCTTGATTCTCCCTCATCGTCCAGACCTTCGACACGAAACATCAGAACATTGTCCGCTCCAAAGGCTTCTAGCCTGGCAGCAAGGCTGGTTTCATCTCGACCAGAATCCCTGTTTGCAGACTGAGTCGCATTGTCGTTGCTAACGGCATGTAAGGCAGTTCGTGATTCAGGCGTCAGCATGACGATCTCTCCATCAAGCCGACACGCCAGAGTGCCGTTCTCCCCGGCGTCCGGATCATGTACCCAAACTGTGGTGACAACCGTGCCTGGGGGCCGGTTTTCGCGGACTCTGGCGTCCGAATGCCGACTCAGAAAGGCTTGCAACAGCGACGGATTCAACGTTGCCGAGGCTGATTCTGTAGAGACGCCGACATGTAGACCGGGTGGTGGCTGACCAGGCGGCCAAACAACCTTACGGCCAGTCTTGCTCCACCATGCACCGGTCTCGATGTCCCCAGTTGCTTGGTCGGTATCGGAATCGTGGTGCGTCGATGCTGCGGCGGCTCTCTGAAGGCCGGAAGGTCTGGAAAGATGCCATCTTTCGCCTGCTCCCAAGTTTTCTGTATCGCTTTCGCCGAGACGGTCAGCCTCGAGAATAAAGCCGTACTTGTCTATTTCTGAGGATTGACTGGCCGAATTCGAAGGGTCACTAGGCAGTTGAATGACAGGAGCATTGTCGTTGACATCGAGCATAGTTACTGTCACCTGAAGACTGGCGGTGCGAGGGGGAGATCCGCTGTCGATAGCAAGAATGACGAGGCGATGCCGATCACCTTCTCTACTAGACTCGCGGTCCAAGGGACCCGAAACCACCAGGTCCCCATTTGCTGCCTCAACGCGAAAGAGCTGATACAAACAAGAATATAGAAAGCAGTTTTGAAGATTCATAAAAAATATTAAAATAGTAGAAAAATAGGCTGAAAGACAAACTTATGCCTCAAGAAGCATGACGGTATGTCAAAAAATATACCATATAAAAAATATCCAGAAGGGTATAATATAGCAGGGGAATAAGAAAAAAAGGTTCGAAGGAAGAAACTTAGAGTTGACAGATTTAATATTGGAAGCTTAGATCTTGAGGGATTGTGGGAAAAATAGTCAAAATTCGTTACTATTTGAAAAATGAGGAAACAAAAGAAATTCGTAAGCTTCTTAACCATGTTGATTTGCCTTGAAGATAATCATTGAATAATCTAATTAAAAACCGATGGTAATATAATATAATAAGGAACAATTCAATAATATAAAATTATGAAACGCATGAAAGTGGAAATATATTGAATAATTAAATAATATTTAAGACCACAAAAACATGATAATCACAGACAAAGAATAAAGTAGAAATAATTACAGATATAAATTGGGATATAATAATATAATACAATATATATTTATATATAAGTAATAAATTCGATATAGGCCTATATCAATAGCAAGTATATATAATATATTGAATTTCATCTTAAATAAGCTCATCGCAACAAATGTCAACTCCATTTAAAACAAGAGATAAAATCTAAGAATAGATCAACAAAAATAATTAAATCTAATCAATCGCATGTAAGTTGATCAAATCCGAACTAATCGCATATACACTAATCTAATCTGAACAAGTCGGATCTAATCTAATTTAATCTGATTTATTCTGATCTACTCTGATCTACTCTTATAAAATCTGATCTGAACTTATCAAATCAAATCTGATCTGATCTAATCTGATATAAACTGATTTATTCTAATCTAATGTGATCTAATGTTATCTTATTTGATCTAATATTAGCTAAGCTGAACTGATCTGCTTTATTCTGATCTACTCTGATCTACTATTGTATAAGCTGATCGAATCTGATCTACTCTGATCCAATCTGAGCTCATTTAATCTAATCTTATTTAATCTAGTTTCTACTGCTCCATTCATCTCTCTGTAATCTCATGCGTGTTCGACTCACCTCATTCCATCGGAAGTCATCTGATCAGATATGATATGGTCTTATCTTATTTGAACTGAACTGATCTGACTTTATAGAAATGGGTTAACCTCGTTATCGCAACTTGATCTTGTTGTCAGGGCGACTAAGTAGAACGCACCTGGGAGACTGCGACCATATTAGAGGCTACACCCTCTTGGTCTCAATATGATCTGACTTTACTTCAAATCATTACGAATAAATTATTCAAACCACATTATATTTATTCAAGATTTCAATTAATTTCTTTCAAAACATCTGATCACAAATTAAACCTCAAATTTTAGTTCAATTTATTTTATTCCGTTTCATAAAGTCTTAAATCATCTTATCTAATCTTATCTAATCTTAACTCATTTCACTTCATCTTGTAATAACTCATCTCCACTTATCTCATCTCAGGACATCGATTCCCACCTCATCGTAACTCATCTTATCTCTTCTTATCTCCTCCCACCCCATCTCATCCTATCTCTTTCTAACTCATATATTTTTATTTGATCTCATTTG